CCTTCTAGTATTAACTATTGCATAACTGGTTATTTAGGTCCTGCTTGCTAGTAATGCGATATTTTAGGTGAAGTTTGGAAAGGATCCCGATATTCAGAATCTCTTTCTAAGGGCTTTTGCTAGAAATGTGGATCATAGATAAAATAATGGGGTTTTATCATTTTAAAAATAATAATTTTAGAGGCTTATTTCTTGTATGTTTTAGGAGTTTTCATCTAAAAGTTTAAATATACGCAAACATGTTATTATTTGAGAATCTTGAAGATTATGCCTATTAGCAGCAATAGCATACAGGATTATTCTGGGTTCTATATTAAAATTATTTTGACCTATTATTAATTATCTGCTCTTTTAATTCCTTAACCAAAAGTTATTTCTATTAACTTTAATTTATTTAATGATATAATTGGGTCAGGTGGTGTTCAAGTTTCTTTAGGGACAGACTGTCTGATCAGTGAAAACATAATTAGAGATATGGGCAAAATATTATTTTATACTTAAATTTAATTTTTGGTTCCTATGGCAGTGTTTATTTTGATTCCTGTTACACTTATGTTTTACTAAGACATTTCAAAACAGAAATTAAGAGAATATCACATTTTTTTAATTTTTCATATTATATTTATCTTTTTCTAAGTGAACTAGATATAATATTTTACTAAGTCTCTAACTTGTAAATAAGTAGGAAATTAACTTTACAACCCAATTGACCTTTCATTTGACTGCTACGACTCTAGCATAATTAAATATTTATATCCTTTTTCTGTAATGGTGTTAGTTTTTTGGACTTTATTTCCTTTGGTATTTCTTAGATTGATTAATTAAAACAAAAAAAAACTAGATTAATGCATAATTAAGTATAAATACGGATATTACTATGGAGAACTAAAACCTAAATATTACTATTGGGAGTTTGTTAGAATTTATTTAAAAATTTCTATAATTTATGCACATACACTATTAAATAAGAATAACCACAATGTTTGTGTACTAACAATTAGTTCACTATTAATCTATTATATTAAAATAGTATAGTAAAATAGTCCTTTTATTTCAATTAGCATATAAAAATGTGAAGTAGCAGCTTATTCTCTTATTTTCTTGAAGATATATTTATAGTTAATTCAATCTTAAAATCCATAAACTCAAATTTTTGTAGAGATTGCTTAAATTATTGTAGATTATTTCTTCTTTTTTTGCTTTTTAATAATTGTAATAGGAATTATGTTGAGCAATTCTAAGTCAAAAAATGTAATAATAGTAAAAAAATGTCTATCAAAAGTTATTCCTTCAAAGCTGAAGAAATTGATAAACTTTGATAAAGTCTCTCTAACAGCATACATGAAATGGAAAATTGTCTATTAAAAAATTAAAAAAGGTTAAATAAATCTTTAAAAAACCAAGAAAAAATAAAAAAAATAACTCAATTAAGCAGAAAACAATCTTCAAAAAGTAAATAAATTTATTTTTTATAAATATATACTTACTTTTATTTATTTTTTTTAAATTAAATTAAATTAAAAAGATTACAATACAAAAGGTGAATAGCAAGAATTTATTTTCATATGATTTCAACACTTAGTAAGTACTCCTAGCAGGTTTTGCTAAATAACAAAAAAATGTTAATTGATTATAAAATATTTTACATATTAATTGTATTTAATTACATTTATACTTATTTTTTATTATTTGAAGAAAATTTCTTTAATTTTTCTTAAAAAATTTATTTGAAATTATATGGGATGTTTAAATTAAAACATCTTCTTCCTCTATCAAAAATAATAAAATAATTCAATTCTTAATTAATAAAATAGATTTTTAAAAATCAATTTTCACAATTTAACTTAGTTTACACATTGATAATTCTGATGTTTTTATTTTTGAATTTGACATTTGTTTTATCAGTATATTTTTGTAAAAGTTGTTTTGAAAATTAAAAATAATATGTAATAGATAATGATTTAATTTAATTCAAAATAATTCTTCTTTTAAATAAAATAGCAAGTATTAATATTTGATATTTTGTAATATTTTTAATGATATTTAAGTTATATTTATAAACTATGTTCAGTATTATTTATTTATAAAATCAATTTAAATAATATATAAACTTTTGAAACAAATAATAGCAGAACCTTAAAAAAACAGAAATAATTTAAACAAATTAAAATTATAGATATTTTTGTTTAACTTTTCTTATTTACGAATTTACTAAAAAAAGTAATCTAAAGTTAACTGATAAAATTTTATTTTATCAAGATATACATCTAAGACTTGTTATCTCTCATTTTAACTTCCTCTATTGCTCGTTTGCAAATCAATTTACCTTTAACCTCTGTAAGCTTCTTGGCCCCCGCCCCGGTGACTATATATATATAATTGCATTATTTAAGTATATACTTGCTATTTTTTAGTGTATGAGTATGTTTGTTTCTATTATTTAAACTATTTATAATTAATTTTCATTTAAAATTAATTAAAATATTATGGTTTCTTATATTTTTAATTTGAAACCTTATCATTTAATAACTAAAATAATTGAATTTGTAAGTTTTTTTCTTATTTAAAAATATAAATCATCTTAAAATACGAAGTTAGAAAAGAACTAAGGGAGGAAGAAATAAAGGAAGATAGGCATTTGAATGTTACTAAGATCATTAAAATCAAAATTACTTATTTATTGACAAAATTATAAAAGTTAAAGTTAGTTATTGAGCTAAATAATTTAAACTGTTTGCTTTTTATTTAATATGTTTTATTTCTAAATTATATAATAAAGAATAAAATATATAATAAAAATAAATTAAACATAATTAAATTCAATTAAATATTCTAGTATTAAATTTGACCATCAAAATTTGGAACAAAAAATATAAAAATAGTTGAAATTTATTTATAAAATAACTATATAAAAAATGAGTACACTAACATTTAAAAATATAATAAAAGGATAAAAAAATATTATTAAAAGCAGCTAAAATCAATTTCGATCAGTATCTTTAATTATGGAATTTAGAAAATTAATTTATAAAAAGCTTAAAGGCTAGTTTATTGAGAAATCAAGTGAAAATAATTGAAAAAGAATTTTATTTGTTTATAAAAAATAAATTTCTAACTACACATGATAAAATAATTTTTAAATATTTTATAAAAATGAACAATAATTATCAAACTTATGAATATAATATAAATCAATGTATATATTACTAGATATAGCAATAAATATTGATTGAAAGTAAACAAAATCAAACTTTATTAATTAATAATTTCTAAAATTTTAAGTAAATAGATTAAAAAAATAGCTAAATTTAAATAAATAACAAAATTTATTTGCTTTTTAGAGATGGATTTATATTAATTTCTTGTAGCATAAGAAGTATTTCATTTAAAATATTTGTAAAATGGGTTATGAATAGTTTTGAAAAATTATGATTTTTAGTATTCTTTATTAAGTCTATGTCTGCTTTTATATTTCTTTTAAAAATTAACTTTAATTTAGTATCTTTAATTTTTTTTCTTTTTCATTAGATATCTTAACTTTCTTATAAATTCTTAAAACTATAGTTAATAGTAATTGAAATAATCATATTCATTAACATAGTTGCTTAACTTATTTTTTTATTTTTTTTTTTATTAATTTTTTACCTCACAAATTTATGACATAAGAATTACTAAATAAAGTAAGTTATAATATGTTACATTTAAATAAATAGTACTAAAATCAAAGTTAATCAATTTTTTATTCTTTATTACAGCTATAAAGAGAAAATAATAAGGGATAAAATTTCACACTACATGATAATACAATCAATTGCTAAAGCAAAATAGAAAAGTAGATATTTATTCAATTTATAAATTTTCAACAAAATCAGTTAAAAAACTCATTAAACAGTTTGTATTTAATAGAAAATATTCAATTTGAGGATTTTAAGGCTAATATGGTCAAAAAAAGCCATGCCTCCTAATTATTAGCCCTTCAAGTCTTTACTTGGAGGGCTACATTTAACATATTTTTTCAATAGCTTTTAATCAAACTTTTAGTAATACCATAAAATGATAAAAATATAAACAAAAATACTTTATACTACCCTACCCAAATTGGTATTTGTATTTATAAAGTACTTTTAAGTATTTATTTATTTTGTATCGCAGTTAGTATATTTGTCTTCCTTAAAATTTGGATAGAGTTACTCTTTTATTTATTGCAATTATTTAAAATCTTGTTTCAAATAGTTCTACTTTAATAATTGTTTTTCTTGAAAGTAATATAATAATTAAAATAAAAAAATAGATAAAAGACAAATATTAAAAAAAACAAGTTTTGAGAAATTTGATTAAATAAGCTAAAAATTCATTATTAAGCATAAATTAGTCAAAATAAGCAAAAACTTCTAGTTAAATAATAAATAATAACAAATAAATGTTAATTAAATTAGCAATTATAAAGAGTTATATTGTGCTTTTAGTTATCTAATTGATCGCTAAAGCATAAAATACATGTGTAGAAGGATGCTCAAGTTGTAGTAACAGCAATAACTAAAATATCTGCACTAAATGTTTAGATGGTTACTAGCTTGATTCAAATAATAATCTTTGCGTATATACTAAATGTAGTAGCAATTTATTTTATGATAGGAATATACATGACATTGGGAATATAGATAATGAGTGTGTAGCTATCTGTAGCCCTTTTAGCTATAAAAATTATCAAAATAATTTATGCTAAAGCAAATTACAGTGTTCTATATAAAAACCCTCATAGCTATTCATGAAAGACAATACTATAACAAAAGACTTCTTTATATATCAAGATAATTATTATGTAATTTAGAAAGAAAATTATCTCTCTGTTTATGATAGAAATGACCTCAATCTAGTAAAAAGTAAGACCTTTGAAACAAAAGAATTATAAGTATTCAATCTAAATGATATCATATTTTTCATAGGTAATGATAATTCTATATCATATTGGGATATTAAAAATGAGTCAAGAAATTCAAAAACATACCTAAAAAATATTTCCTTTAACTAATTCACAGAAATCGCTTCAATTGATAATCACTATGGCCTGATTTATAATATTTACTCCTAAAAAGAATCTGAATTTTAGATATTTTATGATCAACTGAATTAAGTTTTTTCTTAATCTAATTCTTTCAAATTAAATGTTAATGCACAAAAAATCAAATTTATTGATTAATGGATGTTTATACAGAATTTAAATAGTATTATTGTGTATAAAATAATTGTAACTAATAACAACGATAGCTTAAATTTACAAATTGAAAATCATTTTACTTTTAAATCTTAGTAAAATAAGAACTATTTTGATACACTGTCTATATCTTAGTTTGGAATCTACGTTTTAGTTTAAGACGATTCTGCTAGTTTAGTTAACCTAAATGATAATTCATTTTAACCTGTTTAAATATAAATGAACGACTAATAAGAAATTCAAAAAGGTAGAATATTTTAAGCTTCAGATACTGATTTGAACACATATCTAATAATTTAAAGTGAATAATAATTGATATACACTAATCTACAAACAAATTCTTCAAATATAATTTAAGAAATTGATTCTTTAACAGACTTTGAGGTGTGTGATTTTATGGATAAAGAAAAGAAAATAGTTGTGCTTGACTCAAATATCAATTTGTCATTTTTTTACTTCGATTAAAATCAAAAAGAATTTATTGAATCAACTTAAAAATTTACTTTGAAGTATAATACAAATTATTTATATCTAGTAAAATACCAAAATTAAATTTCACCTTAAAAAGAATTTGTTTACGAGTTGATTGCTTTAAACAATGATTACATTTAAATAGTCAAAAAAAGTGATAGTTTGATAAAGCACGAAAAATAATTAATTCAAATCAATTTAATTATCAATTTTAATCTAGCCTTTCCATCTGTTGATTATTCAATTATTAGTAAAATAGTATTAAGTTACTAGCCGCCTATTGCCATTTAATTAAATTAATAAGGTGGCATTAATTTTTATGATTATTCATAAGAGACCAAATGTGTTTTATAAAAGTAATTAAAATTGGGTTTTAGTTTTGGATTTAAATCCATTCAAAAATTTTACAATGATAAAATAATCATTTATGATAATAAAGGATATATAATTGACATTTATAAAAAAAATATTTTGAACGTTTTTAAAGCTTAAAATTAACAATACACCACTAATAATGATATGTTAGCAATGATTTTTTAGGACTGTTTAATAATTTAATCCTCTAACTTATAAAATGTGTTTAAGAATTGTTAAATAGATTTTATCAGTAGAGATATTAACATCTACTTGAACAAAGATTTAAAAATTATGGCATAAAATGAATATGAAGAAAAAGTTTCAGTATACTAAATAAATTTAAAAGATTAAACCATTTAGCTTCTAAACACTATAAATAACATAACCTATTTCTAAATAATAAAAAAATTTTATTCTTTGACTGATAAAATAAATAACAATTTTTCTCTCGAATAAATACTAACCATAGATGAAAATAATAATTTTAGAATTTACGACTTCAGTTTATCTTTGATATATGAAATGAAATCCCTTACTATTACAGGAGTTACAACAATATATTTAGTAGTGAATGATAATTAAATGTATGTTTTAGAAGGGAACTAAGGGATACTTTTTATTAACATTACAGATAATTCCTCATGTATAATCCAATTAGGATATAAACTTGGTCAAACAGAGTTTTAAAAAAAAGTAAACGAATATGGGAAAACTTATTATTGGGCATACGTAATGCAAGCTACTCAGATGTTTGAATACGCGTTTGATCTACAAAAATAAATTGTGATTGAAACAGGCTTTTATTACTTTAACACCATAAGTTATTTATCAGTATATGTTTAGAACTTAAAAAGCACTACTTAAATGAGTACTTATCAAAATGAAGATTTTGATAAAGTTTTATCCTCTTATGTTTAAAAATATAAACGCTATCAATTTACATCTCGTATGGTTTATTAATAATCTCTTTATAGCTAAAAATTTGGAAAGTTATTTGTTATATTTGATAGTAAATTAGTATCTTTTGACATTTACACTGGTTCACAAGAAATTTTATCTACTCTTGAAGCAAGTATTTACGATGTTTCTATGAAATTATATGATGAGTTCTTATTATACTATAGTAGTGAATATGAAAACTATTTTATAATTCTGATTAATTTATCTACAAATGAAAAATTTTTAAAAAAATTGGAGCATGCAATAAAGAATATTTTTTACAGTAAAGATGATAATCTGATATACTTGTACAATAATATTTAATTTGATATTCTAGATACTAAACTCATTTTTGTTTAGAGTATATTCAACGATTTTTAACTAAAAAATATTAATTTGGAGTGTTTTGCCTTTAAATATCAAATTTCATGCCTAAGTTAATCATCTACTACCAGTAATAACTCATTTCTTTTAGTATATGATAAAGTGTTTAAAGTCTCTAAAAAAGTTAAATTTGAAGATTCTTAATTTACTGTTTCTCTTTTTGATGAACAATATAATCATATTTATATCTATAGCTCAGATCATTAAAATTTAAAAATCTATGCTACTGATGGAATTTTAATATAAACAGTCAATAATATTTAACAAGGATGTCTTTTTTTTACATCTAAAGCAGTATGTAGATCCTAAAAAAGTAAATTTTTCTTTCATATTTTTAATTCTCAACAAATAAATTTTCACATATTAGTAAAATACTAAATGAATATAAAATCTAAAAATTATTGTTTAAAAAAATAAATCTTAAAACAGTGTTGCCAGAAAACAGAATATTTTCTAATAATAAAAAAATATTTTTATTTTGCTTTTTAAGATAATCTAAATCTAATTAATCTAAAAATCTCAAAAATTTAAGAATTTAAAATCTAAATAAAATATACTATAATGCTAACTGCGATTCAATCAAACATAATTTTTTATTAAGCTTCAAAATATATTTCTTATATTTTAATGAGTAACTTTAAAAATTGTTATTTATAAAATTAAATAAATTAAATAAAACTTTCAAAAAATTAAAAATTTTTATCCACTATTTCATAAAAGAGGATTTAATTATATTCTAAATTTTCACTTGTTAGATTCATTTTTTTTATTTTACTTAAAAATTAATATTTAATTATGTATTTAAAAAATTAGGTTTAATTATAGTTGACAAGAATACTTTAGCTTTAAATGAGTATTAGTTTGAAAAAATGGATTCTAATGCTTTTTAACAAATGGTTTATATTGATTACTTAAATTATTTGCTTATTTAGAATCCTTTAGGTAAGTAAATTTCTGTATATGATATTTCTGCTTAAAGATATATTTTTGATATATAAGTTAAATAAAATGAAGTAAATAACAATTATATTTCTTTCTTTGAGTTTTATGAAAATTTAAGCAATTACGTGATATTTTTAGACTAAATGGGTACATTGTATATTTCTTCTTTACGCAACAAACCTTCATTTCAAACTTACATTAATGTTATCTAAGATTTTTAGAGAGAAAAGGGTTTTAGAATAATTCAATATGATAGTTTATCAAATGATATTTATCTTAATTATGATGGTTATATATATAAATTAGATCTTAATTAATTAGGAATAGAACGTGACCCATAATTAAATGAGCCGTATACTTTGTATACCTAAATATAAAGAGATAACTAACAGACAGATTATTTGATTTTAAGTTAAGATAGCCTTATATTTAGATATTCTTAGCAGAAGATAAAATTTGAGTTATCCATATTAATGAGTTCAAGAATTTTAGATATAAAATACAATTAAAGTGATGATGTTTTAACATTAGGTTTAGAAAATTCAATTTTATTTTATTAATAGTATCAATCTTGCAAAAATAGTAATACAGATCCTGATATTTATTAGCTAGACAATATCCAATTCTAGCAGTTTATAATTGATAGTATTGTAATTACTAGTGATTAAAAAATATTGCATTTAGATTTAAAAGCAGGTGTTATCACGAAAACGATTTAATTTAATTTGACTCAAACAGTGACTTAATTTAATGTAAATAAGAAGCAAGATTTGATCATTGTAGGATTTAGTGATGGTTAGGTGCTTTAATATAATTTAACAAGCTAAGATTATTTTTTATATGACACAATAAAAGAGGTTTCTCTTAAAATTTCAATTATTGTCATTTAATTGATTGAAATCTCTGATAGTAAATTGTTAGCTTATATTGTTTCAAATGGTGCTCTTCTTCTTTAAATTGATGTGTTGAAATAATAAGTTATTAAATAAATAGACTTAAGAAGTCTGGTTGATGAAGATCCTAGCATTAGCTTGTCAAAATTCTTAATTGATCAAAATTATCAAAGATATTTATTTTGCTTTAATGGATAGAAAAAAGTATATATTTGGAATTATTCAAAAAATGAATAAGAGCGAAATTTATCTTTACCTAAAATGGAATCTAACTTGAGAATAGAATAAAATTTCCTAATTATTTAGTGCATTTTTTAAATTAATTTGTATCAACTCAATAAAAAAATTGAATTTGTTGCATCAATTAAAAAAGATTTCACTTAAGATAGTATTTTGGATTTCAAGCTATTTAACAATAAAACTATTGCAATATTTTTAATAGATAGATTCGAGCTATTTATTATTAATGGAGATAAGTTCAATATGATAACTTAGATTAGTTATTAATACTCTCGATTATTAAATTATTCAATCGATTCTCAGAAAAATGTACTTAGCATATTAGGATTACATTAAGCTGGAGTTTTTGAAAATAAATACAATTTAGATATTTACAAATCAGAAACAGTTTCAGAATGCTTTTTTTTTAGCTCTAGTAAGGAATATTAAAATATTATAGAAGAATAAACATATGTTGCTCCTAAATAAAAGGAAATTTAGACAATAAATGGAGTTTCTTTAGTTAATTAAGAAAATTAGTTTATCTACTTCTACTTGCAAATACCAAGTGATAATATATAGAATTTATTTTTATAAACATCCTCAATATCAAATAGTCAACAAGTCATGGCACCTTATGATATCTAAAATAATTTTATAGCTCTTTAAAATACTACCTTTTAAAATCTAAGCTAATCTACTTTACAATTTACTAATTTTAGTTTAACATTCTAAAATAGTACAAATTTATTTATCAACATTACCTAAAACAAAAAAACTTAGTAAGTTATTTTTTAAAATATGGCTATAGACTTTGAGTGTTTTGGTACTAATCAAATATTTATATCTGATATTCAAAAGGTAGTTTTTTAAAACATTAAAATATCTTAGCTCAACCTTAAAAAATGCTCAAACTACAATCAGCAAAATTCTTTATTCTTTTTTTATAACATATCAGAAATATTTATTTATAACCTGGAAGTATCATACAATAATTTTTATCAGAAGTCTCAGATACCCTTATTTTAATTTGAATTAATAAAAACTGTTCAAATAAATGGGGTAACTATGCTATAAAACAATAACTTGAACAGTTTGATGAGTTTTTAACAAATAAAAAATCTAACCATCGAAAATTTAATAGTATAAAATAATACTCAATCACTATAAATAGATTAAACTTCAGGAGTGTTTACATTCTTAGGTTGCAATATAATAACTCTGATAAGAAGCACATTTGAATTTAATAATTAATTAGTTCTAATTTTTTCCACAAACTAATATTCATCTGAAAACCAAAAAATTGAATTAAATGATGATATAATAGTATTAAAACATTTTTAAATTGAGCAAAATAAATTTTTATAATAATAAATCATGTTTATTTAAAATTCAAAAATTTAATTTAATAATTTTACTCATATTGAAAATGAAGGTTCACTTTTATTAATTAAATCTAATGAAGTTATAATCGAAAAAGGTTATTTTAAATTTAACACAGCATAAAATGGAGGAGCTATTTATTTTTAATCAATCCTGAAAAAGATAGAGTTTAAAAAATCTCTATTCTAACAAAATACTGCAAAAAGCAGCGGAGGAGCTTTATTTCTTGAAAACATTGCAAATTGTTTAGTTTTATTTGATTCTCAGACAATAATTAAAAATAATAGAGCATTTATTGGAGGAGGATTAAGGATAGTTTAGACTGATTAAAAAAAGCTTTTGTTACCTTAAAACTTTCCATTTTCCAAAAATATATTCGATAACGTAGCAGAGATATATGGTGATGATAGTACATCTTATCTTTAAAACATAATTATTCAAAACAATGATTATACCAATGAGGAATTATTCATATTTTACAAAGATTAAAGTAATGTACCTAAAAAGTTTTAAAATGACTTCTCAAGATATGCTGAAATGAGATAATTCAGAAGTGGAGGCTTAATTAACTTTAAAATGTATATTGTAGATGAATAAAATAGATATCTGAGCTTCTCAAAAGATAAGCTAGAACAAGGTTTATATCCAAATGATATAAGTTAGGAGATAATTAATATTTAAATCTCATTTTATTAGCTAAATTCTAGTGAAACTTAAATGTTTGGATAGAATATTATCAATTATTATCAATATGACTCTAAAAGTTAATCTTTTATGATGAATGATTTGAAAATTCTTGGTAATCTCAATAAAGTTTAATACTTTTATATAAACTCAACAATTCAAACAAACTCTCTTACAATAAATCCAATTCTCTTATCAGTATAATTCAGAAACTGTATAAAAGGGGAG